GACCCCAAGAACACCATCCCCACCGTCAAACATGGATGTGTAAACATTATGCTTTGGGGGTGTTTTTCTGCTAAGGGGACAGGACAACTTCATCGCATCAAAGGGACGATGGACGGGGCCAAGTACCGTCAAATCTTGGGTGAGAACCTCCTTCTCTCAGCCAGGGCATTGAAAATGGGTCGTGGATGGGTATTTCAGCATGACAATGACCCAAAACACACGGCCAAGGCAACAAAGGAGTGGCTCAAGAAGAAGCACATTAAGGTCCTGGAGTGGCCTAGCCAGTCTCTAGACCTTAATCCAATAGAAAATCTGTGGAGGGAGCTGAAGGTTTGAGTTGCCAAATGTCAGCCTCGAAATCGTAATGACTTGGAGAAGATCTGCAAAGAGGAGTGGCACAAAATCCCTCCTGAGATGTGTGCAAACCTGGTGGCCAACTACAAGAAACGTCTGACCTCTGTGATTGCCAACAAGGGTTTTGCCACCAAGTACTAAGTCATGTTTTGCAGAGGGGTCAAGTACTTATTTCCCTCATTAAAATGCAAATCAATTGATAACATTTTTGACATGCGTTTTTCTGGATTTTTTTGTTGTTATTCTGTCTCTCACTGATCAAATAACCCTACCATTAAAATTATAGACTAATCATTTCTTTGTCAGTGGGCAAACGTACAAAATCAGCAGGGGATCAAATACTTTTTTCCCTCACTGTATAAGCTCCGGCAGGCCTAACCACCAATGCCAATGAAATGACACCACAACTCAGCATGGTATCCTTCCTGCTTTCATATCCTGCTGATGTTGCAAATTCAACATTCGACCTCCACGGTCCACTCGCGCAATATCAAATAATATCAAATACATGTGGCTTTAGGCCGAGGACTGGTGTTGGCCGTGAGCGGGAATCAAACTCGGGTCACCGAGTTTGTAGCGCGGCGCACTAATTATTGCACGACCGCTCCACGTACATAAACGTACACACGCACACGCAAACCAATACCCACCATTTGCCAGTAAGTGGCGGTGACGTCACCACAGTGATTGTGCCAGGCTATGTGGATGTTAAGGCCATGTGAAGTGTCAAAGGCTCGCTGACAGGAGGTCTCGGGACAGACCCAGCAGGTGCCAAGAGTTGGCCGACTGAGATGACTGGAAGATACACCAGCTCCTCCGTCTACTATGCCAACTGGCTGCGTTTTAGCCACCCGGCGCTCCACTCGTTGTTGTGAGTGTTGCTCCTCTGCCCTCAGTTGTTGTTGGAGGGCGACTGCCTCTAACTGTCCAGTAGCAGCGTCCTTCACGAGCCTCCTCCACAGAGGCCGATCTTGACACCGCTGGTACAAGTCTTTGGTAAGTCCACTCAGCTCCACGTCCTCCCATACCGCATCAGTCCATCTCTTCTCCGGCCCATGTCATGCCCGTTTAGCCCTCTCTGTGACCAAACAGAAGCTGCTTGGGCATGCGGTGGCTGGGCATGCGGCGACATGACCCAGGCAATGCAGCCTTGCCTGCCGGAGGAGCTTACTGATGGGAATATATCCAGATCGTTCAAGGATCTGTGAGCTCATCACACAATCAAGCCTTGTTAAACCCAGAGTGGATCTTAGGCAGGCTCGCCTGAATGTTTCTAACCAGCGCAGATGTTCCACCAGAGGGGTCCACGTTTAACATATACAACAACTACAAAGTGGCGGTGATGTCATCACGACGCTTGTGCCAGGCTATGTGCACCTTGAGGCCACGTGAAGTGTCGAACGCCCGCTGGTAGGAGGTCACGGGGCAGACCCAGATGCCACAGGTCGACTGACTGAGATGACTGGCTGATACACCACCTGTGCCCCCTACTGTGCCAACTTGCTGTACTTTAGCCACCCGGCACTCCGCTCGTTGTTGTGAGCGTCGCTCCTCCGCCCTCCATTGTTGTTGGAGGGTGACTGCCTCCAACTGCCCAGTAGCATCCTTCAGAAGCCTCCTCCACAGAGGCCGATCTTGACACCGCTGGTATCAGTCATCGGCAAGTCTACTCAGCTCCACATTTTCCTTTACCACATCACTCCATCTCTTCTCTAGCCCATGCCGCGCCCCTCAATCCGGCCGAACAAAAGCTGTTTAGGCATGCGGTCGCTGGGCATGCTACATGGCCCAGCCAACGCAGCCTTGCCTGCCGGAGAAGCTCACCGATGGGACTTTGTCCAGATCGTTCAAGGATTTGTGAGCTCCTCACACAATCCAGCCTGGTTAAACCCAGGATGGATCGCAGGCAGGCCAGCCTAAATGTTTCTAACCGGCGAAGATGTTCCATTAGGGGGGTCCACGTTTCGCAAGCGTAGAAAAGGGAGAGAATGATCGAGAATGGCTCCGACTCCCGGCCACGTAGTTTTACCCGGGCCTGCTCACCATCATGAAGGTCCTTAATGATCGTGAGCAGAGGGTCAGGGACCCCAAAAGCACGAAGAACAACCCAGAGCCCAGGCCTACTGATGGTATCATAGGCCTTGACCAGGTCAATAAAACAGAGTTGTAGGTCTTGTTGGAATTCCTTACACCTCTGCTGTAGCAGACGAACAGAAAATATGGCATCTGTGCAGGACCGCCCTTTCCTGAAACCGCATTGGGGCTCCGCAAGCCTCTCCTCAGCGTGCCTGGCAAGGCGATGTTGAATAATCCTTGCCAGGACCTTTCCCTGCACACTGAGGAGTGAGATGCCCCTGTAGTTGTTACAGTCTGTGCGGTCCCCCTTCTTAAAGAGGGGGACCACCAGGGCCTGTGCATCTTGAGGCCACACACACATATACGTACACACATACAACGTGCATCCCCGTCCGGCACATCCTCCTCTGCCTTATTGTGTGGAATTTTACGCAAAGGATGATGGGAATGGCACAAGACAGGGTTCAAACTCTTGTTCCAGCGTCGGTATAGAGAAACCGATTTTGGTTGCGGTAATTGTGGCCAACAAAATGCTTGTGGGGACAATATGATCACAATCCACGTTAAAAAAAAACCCCACACAATTCAAAGGACAAGGAGAAAAATAGCAAAACCATCCCACTGTGGCAATGGGCAATAGCGAGCCGGTCGTATGTACAGCTGGCCGTCTGTGGCACCGTAAAAAGATTCCAATCGCCGCTGCAAGTTCAGCCTGCGTGCATCCTCACGTTCGGGAGGCCTGAGAGTGCGAACAACGTGGGGGGGGGGCTTACTTAATGGAGAGCACATTGGCCACTGGTTTGAAGCAGCTGCTGCCCAAAAGGCAGGTCAAGCGAGATGCTTTGGCAGCCGGGCACGTTCTCTGCGGCAGCGCTTGAAAGGCAGCCTGCAAGGGCGTCGCCGTGTCGGCTCGATAATTATCGCCTGTGACAAAAGCTGCTCGATGCTGCTACACGCTGCAACTGACGTGCCGGACAAATTGATTAAGTAAAAAAAAACACATTAATCTTCGTTCTTCCATTTACTGCCCTTTGTCAATGCACTGCTGTCTTTCCACACCGTGCCGGTCATGGGGGCTGTTTGGCCATACTTCACTTCGCTGGTTCATGCGAGTTTGTAAAATGTGGAGAGGCCAGGATCGGTTTAGGTGTCACTCAGCGCCAATGCTAGCTGTGACTGGGAATCAACTCAGGCCACCAGGTCCATAGCGCAGTCCGAAAGAAAAAAAATATTCAGGCTGGTCTTTAAATCACCGATTGTCACGGCTGAGCAGAATTGGCAGAGACGGTTGCTGGGATTACTGCTCCAGAAATCAGAAGCACTGTTCAATTTAGGCACCTCCGTTGAATGTCTATAAAATAATCTGTCACGACACGGGTGCTGACGTTGGTCGGTTGAATATTCAGCCTCGCGCCGCTGCGGTCCGCGTGCTGCACTCTCACAATGCGATTTAAAATCTGAGCCAGCGGCTGCCGGGGTAACGTCAGGTCTGGAGGCAATGTAATGGATAGCACCTCGTGCGGAATCGCCAATGGTCGTCCTGTGGAGGGAGTGGCCCTCGACACGAGGACGTGACGAGGTAAAGGTGAAGCCCTGCGATTCCTTGCTCACGCCGCCGCCGCTGCTGGCGGAAGGCACGCCACTCGAGAAAAGCTCCAGAGAGCACATCGTGGCGAGGGTGTCTTTCACATTGGACAGAGTTTACCCCACCACACGCGACCTGCTGATCGACCGGGGTTGTCCATCAATGTTGCTGAGAGGACGGAGGCGGAAAGGGATTCATGAAGTTTACCCTTTCTTTCAACTGCCGCATAAACCATCACCACGCAAACTCCGGTCATACTCGCAATGGCTTTTGGCTCGCCATCGAACAAAGACGGTGGTCACCGCATCGCGCGCTTTCAGATGCGCTTCTGCGGCCGTCTGGAACGCTCTTCCTTCCGATATTAGGAAGCCACTGGAGCTGTCCTTCCCCCACTAATGCTCATTTGGCGACGTACGACGCAAAAGAAGTTGAACATACACACATAGCACACCTAGGGGGTGTTGATCTTACTCTTTCACACTGGCCAGACTTCTTGGAAGGGGCAGCAGCACCAACACTTTACCCCACCACGCGCGACCTGACGATCGACCGGGGATTCTCGGAGAACGGACCAGCGACGCACGAGTTTTGACAGCCCAGTGCGCTCCCCATGACACCGCCGCAGCATTCCCAGAGCACATTTTGATAATCCTGGACTTCTACCCTCAATATTAAAAAGTGTGTAAAGTGAACGTAATGTTTGTTTACGTGTTTTATTACGTGATCGAGTAATGTACTGTATTTTATTCGTGTTTAGTGAATGAACAGACAACTAAGTTAAACGATGATACGGCTGCCTGCAGCCGTGGTTCCCCTAACCCCCGACTTCCCAAAGGCCCCTCCCTGTACTTCACCAACCGCGGATTTGCCTACCGCGGGAACATAACCCCCACGGTTGGCGAGGGAATGCTGCAATCTTATTGGACTCTGCTTTGTGGAATGGATGATGCTGATGATGATCAGCTGCGCACTGGTTGTGGAGTACCTGCTCTCCAGGGCTCCGACCACCAGGGCGATGAGATAGCTGGGTATCTGCACCTGCGAGCACAACGCAGAGTTGCGTGTTACACGGCAGAAGCAGCACACCGAGTACGACCGCGTTCCGATGGCAAAGGTGAAATCGTGGCACAAACCGCACTCTGTAGTGACGTGACCTTTACACTCGTGAACGTGGTCGCGACTTAAATGATATTATGAACACACCTAATTTATGTAAATTGACCGTACCCAATGTGGTATATCTCTAAGTAAACTATCTATCTGGGTGACACTGTGCAGGCAGATTCTGGCAAATTTCAACTCTTGGTTTAGTGTTGTCTGAGCCCATCATTTCATCATCATCATCATGACATTTGTACTGTACTATAGTGTGGGCAGTCAATGGCGATCGTCCAGAGACTCGTCCCTCTACTGTACGAATGTGGAATTTCCACCAATGTGGCTCGAGGCTACCGACAGCGGTGACCACTTGAGCGTGGCGACACCGATTTGTTCCGTTTACCGACAGGGAGATACTGCCACCCTCCCATCGCAGGGTGACGTTCCGTGTCTGTGCGTCTCAAGGGTCTACGCGAGAACAAACAACGGCTACTGCTGTAACCCGCGTCTCGTTTATAAAGTTAAACACTCCTTCTCAGAGTGACTGACATTTTACAGTGACGTCGTTTTTTTATATATATATAAAATTGCAAACAATCCATTCGTATCCGAGATGCAGTAAATATTTTTCTTTCGTACTGCTCGTGTAGATGACAGAGCAAAAACTACAATTTCACATTCAGGTGGTCAAGCCAAAGAACCGCGTCAGGAGCAGCGGAGTGTAATGCCGTGCCGTCTCCTATGTACTACTTTATTTCTACACGAGTGTATGTAACATTTTTATAAATGTACATGCACGTTTAATAAAGTACAGAACTGTACAGCAAATTATTCGCTAATCATCCGTATATGATAAATACGAAAGATGCGAGCTCGGTGGACTCGTTTCTTGCACGGGCGATGCGGTGACACAGCCATTAAATCGACGTTCGCGTTAGAGGGCGGCGATTTGACTCGGCGCTTCCCGCACCGTGCGGGGGTAGCGAAAGCCCGAGTCGCACAAAGTGTGAGCCTGGATCGGGGTCGGTCGCGTATCAGCAGGTCTGCGTACTCTGAGACCTAACCGTATAATGTTTAGCCGCCGACAGGATGCAGCTCATTGACATTGTGGTCCTCGCTGACAGCAGTGGTGTATTACAAACAATTGCAAGGGGAACAACAAGTGGTCGTGGAGATTCATCGCAGGCATGTCATACTATGTTCGAAAAAAAAGTTTTGCTGGCTGGATTCGTGGCTGCCTGGCCCGATGCCTGGCTGATGCCTGGCTGAATTGTTTTGAACGCCCCCTGCACCCACACTCCACCCCGGCCGTGTATCTTCCGCAAACATGATAGAGGAGATAGAGGGAGGTGAGGAAAGTATTTCAACTAAACTAAAACTAGAAACTAAAACGAAAAAGTTAACGAAATCTATTTTTTTTTTACGCCATAAGGCCCACTCAGCTATATAGCTCTTTTTCAGACGCAACCTGGCCACAAATGCTAGCTCAACTAAGTGGCTTAGCATGTGGATATTTATAGCAGCCAAATACTCTGAATGCACGTTGATTTTAAATGAGGGAAATAAATCTACAAGACCACGTGGAGAGAGAACATGCAAACTCAAAATATACAACAGGTGCTGGAGTCGGGATCGAACACACGACGTCCGGCATACCAGGCGAGGTAGTTAACATCTCGGCACCGCAGGGGAAGGGAGATAGGGGAGGGAAGAAGAGGTGGAGAGAAACGGAGAGGGGAGAGAGCGTTGGGAGAGGGTGTAAGGGCACGAGAGGAAAGAGAGCAAAACAGAAATGAGGGAACGTGACAGGCAACGGCAGGGAGGATTCGGGAGAGGCAAGAGAGCCTGAGATGGTAAAGGAGAGAGGTGGCAATAAGGAGAGTGAAGGTGAGAAAAGAGAGAGAAATGTGGAGAGAGATAGCGGGGGAGGGAAGTAGGGTGAGATACACTGGAGGGAGGTGAGGGGGACGGGAATAGAGGCAGACAAAGCGAGAAATCGAGATGCAATGTGATATACAGTCGATAGAAGGCAAGACACATGCGGAGAGAGGCAGGGCTCTGTATAAGAATAGTTGTGCTGGCTGGGAGCGAGGGAAAGACGGATGGTCAACGTCCAAAGGACGTGCGGGTTGCTAGTCCCAGAGAAAATATTTAATTGCAAAACGCACGGTAATTAAACGAGGAGAGAGAAAGTGCTACCTACTGCAGAAACGACACTCAAAACAGCTCAGAGTTGTGGTCAACTCGGGTCATTATAGGAAGGCCGGAGGCAACACCTGTCACAGTCCGTCCGTTGCCCAGGACGAAAAGTGCAAAGACGTTTAGCAGGGCTGTGTTTTTTTTATTTAAAATGCTGGATAATAGCCATGAGCCAGTCCCTGCAGGAAAGCTGTTTTTCAAACTCAACACATTGTTGAAATACAATGCAAGTTAGCACGTGTTCAGTTGAAAAAAAAATTGGTACCATTAACTGAAATGCAAAATTCCAACGTTGCAGTGATTGAGCAGCATACTACAAAGCATTCATTCGAGTTTATCGAAGGATTCATTTTAGGATACTTCTCCGAGTAAACAATTCGTAATACAGCATTATTACTTACGATACCAAGATTAATTGTTTTACTTGGGGGAAAAAAATATATCCAAACAAACCCCCACGTTTTCTTGCAAGAGAAGTTATGCACGTGCTTAGGGCATAGTCCGTCCCAATTAAATTGCGTACCACTTAGTGCACTTGCAAATCGAGATTTGCAATTCTCGCGATTGGGGTAGGGGCTCCGCCAGTGGACTTAAGCACAGGCCCATTGCCCATGAGAGGCACGGCCGCTTCGTAGGTGTGAACCTCCAGCCCTTAAAAAAGGCCAAAAGTATTGCCAATTTATCGCCAATTTACGATTGTAACGACATTGTAACAAAATAAGAGCTTAAGAATGTATTCGTTGGTGAATAGCTTTAACCAAGATTCCGATCTCAGGATTGTTTTGAATGTGGGGAGGAAACGAGGCTTCTGGAGATCACGTCGACATATCTATTATTCGTTCAATTGTTTCTCAGTCCGCTTGTCCTGGTTAGGGTCGCAGCAGCAGCATGCTGAGTAGGGCGGTCCAGACTCTAGCTCTTCTTAGGGAATTCCCAATGTTCTCAGGCCAGGCGAGCGACAAAGTCCCACCACCATGTTCTGGGCCGGCCCCGTGGTCTTCGCCCAGTGAGACGTGCCCGGTGGCGTTCCAGGGGGAGTTTAACGGGGGGCATCCTTACCGGGTGGCCGAATCACCTCAACTGGCTCCTCTCGATCCGGAGGAGCAGCGGCTTTGACTCTGAGGCTTTCCCGGATTACAGAGCTCCTCACCCGATCACGGAGAGTGAGCCTGGCAACCCTGCGGAGAATCCTCATTTTGGCCCCTTGCACCCACGATCTCATCTTTTCGGTCATTACCCAAAGCTCATGACCATGGGTGAGGGTGGAAATGTAGATCGACCTATAAACCGCGAGCTTTGTTCGTGAACTCAGCTCTCGCTTGTTTACACCCCTGAACTTTTCACCGAGTCTCAATACTCTGGAGGATTCTGCCAAGTAAACGAAACTAAAAATTGTATTTTTTATTTTACCAGCTAAGGCCCACTGAGCTATGGAGCTATTTTTTCAGAAGCGACCTGGCCACAAATGATCGCTCAACAAAGTGGCTTATCAGGTGGAAATTTACAGCAGCCAAATACTAATCCAAAAACTATGAACAATTTTTATTTGACTAGGTAAGGCCCCTGAGCTACATAGCTCTTTTTCAGAAGCCACCTGGCCAGAAATTATAACTCAACGAAATGGCTCATCACGTGGAAATGTATTTCAGCTACACTCTGAATGCACGTTATTTATAAATGTGGAGGGGAAAACCGGAGGACCTGGAGAAAAATCCACGTGACCACTGGGGGAACATGCAAACTCCAAATATACAGGCGTCAGGGTTGGGATCGAACCCATGGACTCCGGTATACCAGCCGAGGCAGTTAACATTTCACCACCGTGGCACCCCATCTTTGTATAGCTTGCATATCACAAATGTTTTTGCAGTAGGGGGCAATGTTGCAATGTGTCATCCAAATTGAGTAATTTGCAGTGTAATTTTTCAGCAGAGGGATGTTTGGCCAATACCAGGATTATGGGTGTGCACTATAATGCCCGTATGTGTGTATGTCAAACTTCTTTCGCACCATATGTAGCTAACCGTACTGATCGGAGGTGCAGGAGAAGGACAACAAACTAAACACAAAAAGCAGTTCTGAAGAAATTTGTTTTAAATCTGGATTTAACTGCGCTTAATTCCAGCGACTTCCTAGTATCCGTAGGAAGAGCATTCCAGATGGGCGCAGAAGCGCATCTGAAAGTGTGTGATGCAGTGACCGTCTTTGTACGGGGGCTAGCCAAAAGTCGCTGCGAGGATGACCGGAGTTCGTGTGATGGTTTATGGCCCGGCCATGACACATGGATACACCTCAAGCCAACGCATCAAACCGTCAATGACGAAGTTCATCTCCATCGGCAGACGTAGGCCATGCATGTGAATTATGTAATTTCAAGGCATGAGCCAGTAAATACATTTGGAAAATGTTATTGAATTCTTAACAAGTGTTATTCCTTTTATCAACCTCTGAAGGATGATGGGATGATTAACCCCCATGCCCACCAGAATTTCAGCTCACGACCAGACCTGGAGGTCAATCACTATTGTAAAATGTGCAGTTTGTAATGAAACGTTAGCACAATGTAATTGTAATTAAAGCTGACATTACTGTTCTAAGAAAAATTACGATTGACCCCAGGACTGAGTCAAGCATCTTCTGCCACAGCATCGCCCGGCCGGTTAACAATTCCCTGCGTTTATTTCATTACAAGCACTTCAACTTTTGCAAAACCCTCATCGAAGGACATTTTGCGACGTTAA